GGGGCATAGCTCAGTGGTAGAGCACCTGCTTCCCAGGTTCCCAGGTTCAGTCCTCAGCCTCTCTCTATGCAGGTCTGGGTACACCAGTGGTGGCATAGTGGTTAGAGTGCTGGACTAGGTCCTGGGTTCAAATCCCCATTAAGCCACGAAGCCTACTGGGTGACCTTGGGCCGGTCACTGCCTCTTATCCTAACCTACCTCACAGGGTTGTTGTGGGGATTAAATGAGTAGGAGGAGAAAGAACCTTGAGCTCCTTGGGAAAAGGTGGGCTGTAAATGCAAACAACAACAACAACAACAACAACAACAACAACAACAACAACATCTCAGGCAGTTCCTTGCCTGAGACTCTTGGAGAGTCGCTGCCGTACAATACGGAGCTGGGTTATATTAGTCTCAGGAATATTAGCAGGCAGGAAGGCAGTGAGAGTACCATGTGGTCTTGTGGGCAGGGGACAAGTGGAGGCAATTGGAAGGCTGTCAGGCATGATATTTCTCTATAGCAAGTATTTCATTAGAGTGATTTCCCCTAATTTTATCCAAGCCCAACATACAGGAGAAAGAAGCAGACTCAAAGGAGGTTTAGAATAACATATAAACATGCTGGGTGGGGTCCTTTTGAAGTATAGTCAGCAACAGTAAAGTAGAGATTTTTAAGGGGAGATGATGGACATTGGCAGGACCAGTTTAAGCCACTGGCGCAGCTAAAAGGAAGAGCTAATTTGCAACCTTCCCTATTTTATTTGAAGGATACATACAGAATAAGGCTAGAGTAAGACTAATGACCCTTCCTTCTGAGATCTGCTGCCCAAAGCAGCTGCTTCATGTTCCTCTGAGGTATGCCTCGCACTGCAGATTGGTGAATTATATGATGGGTACCCGGGGGGGGGGGGAATCAATGTATGTGATGCTGGCAGTTTTTGCTACGGAAGTAGGCTAACTTCATAGCTCACAGCATTGACCTTCTCACATTGTCAGCAATGCTGGATGGCCGAAGTCAGCAGGAGGTGCTGTGGTCGGGGTGGGTGCGGGGGTGGGGCAGAATTGGGTTCTGACTTGGTGACTTGCAGAGGGAAGCAAACCGTTCTGCAAAGGCTTAATGGGAAACAGTGCTGTTAGTACAGTAATTCTTTTATCTTATTTTATAGCATGCTCATTGTGCAGAGAGCTTTGCAAGGCTTACAGCTTATGGATGGAGGAGGGGTTATTGCTTTGCTTTTGTTTTAACTATTTAAATTGAGCTTTTATCCTGTATTTTTTATCTTGTGAACCGCCCTGAGATCTTTGGATGAAGGGCAGTATATAAATTTAATAAGGAAGACAAAGGAGGAGGGGAAGAAGAAGAAGAAGAAGAAGAAGAAGAAGAAGAAGAAGAAGAAGAAGAAGAAGAAGAAGAAGAAGAAGAGACTCAAAAGTAAATCCTTAAATGGGGCTTACTTCTATGTAACAATGTGCGGAATTTTAGCCTTAATGGCTGCAGTCCCCCAACATCTTTATGTTGTGGATTACTGCTATTCCTGTTTGACACATGGGCATTGGTAATCTTGAAATGAGCATTGACTTGTTTATTATAGACTGAATCAGTGCAAAGCAAGATGTACGGTACTTAGTATCCCCTGAAATCAATGGGACAAGTTTGTCATGGCTTAACCTGAGTCCAAATCAATGGGAACTAAATTCAGCTAACTTAATCTGGATTGCACCCTATATTTATATGATGCTCTTCCTCCATGGGGCTGAGATTTCTTTGCATATGGTCCTCAATCCAGCATGCATATGCTGAAGCCTGGTCATATCAACACAGACAGCACTGGGCATAATTCTGACTGGACTGCAAGCCTGGAAGTTTCTCATGCAAACAGAGCTCAGGGCCCAAACTTCCTTATATTCAGCAACAGAACCATCTTCTTGGCCTTTAGATTATTCTCTTCGCCATTCCAGTCTTTGCACCCAGTTCTACAGTTCTAGCATTTTAATTCCAAGCCACTGACTACTGCTCAGGGGTGCTGCGGTGCAAATGGTACCATCAAACATTTAAGGAAGGCTTTTCAACAGAGATTCATATAATTGCAGATATAAAAGCACTTGTGGATGGTGGTAGGGAGAGGGAATTTGTGGTCTTATTAGAGTTTTCTCAAACAGCCGCGGCCAAGTATTCTGTACAGCACGGTGTCTCAAAAAGTGCTGATGTGCTCTCTTCTAATGAAAATGTTGCAAAATTGCAGTGATTTGAGCCAGCATGGGGGCCCCAGACAAAAGTGAAATTACATCGGCCCCCTACCCCAAGATATTTGGAAGCCTCCAAAACTGCCGCTGGGCATGAAGAGAGTTCCAAACAAAATCTCCCAGCTGGCAGAGAGAGGGGACAGTGCAGCATTTCTTAAAGCACATGGGCTGAAAGGTAATTGTGTTTTTTGGAGAGATTATGGATAATTAGCAAAGCTGGCAAAAAGCTTTTTTTCCCATCCATGCAAAAATGGAAAGGTCTCTTGTAGCAGATTTCAGCAAAAGATGGAGGTAAGGCATGTAAGCTCAACTCCATTCGCACTCACAAGGGAAGCCAATTTAGGTAAATTTAAAGTGGGCAGCATATTTTTTTTAAGGTTGCATAAAGAAACATTGTAGTAGGGAATTTTGACTGCAGATTTCCAGGTGATATACAAGTGCATACAAACACACAAAGTCCTGAACAGCCTGGAACCCAAAAACCTGAGAAAATCCCTTTCCCCATACCAACCTCTCTAGTCTTTAGGATCAGCTAGTGCAACCCACCTAGGGTGTCTCTGTGAGCAGCGTTCAAAACTCCCATTGTTCTAGTCGCATTTTGCAACAGGCAATTTCATTAGCGTGAGCAGTTTCTGAGTTCTGGGTGCAGTACTGCGCCTAGGATTTCAGGTTTAAACTGCAGAGTGGAAGGAAAGGAGGACCTTTTTCTGCATCCCCACTTCCAGTTACTCTTTGAAGACTGGAGAAGAGACCCTCTTAAGAATATTAGAGGGGTAGGCAGGAGAAGGACTAGACTATGTGAAAAATGAACATAAGATTTTAGCTGCAGTTCATCCATTTTCAGCTTTGTATTCTTACTATTAAAAAAGCATGCCTAGGCACTCCATTTTGCACCCATAATGTAGCTCCTAGCTTTCATATCTCAGTTTCTAACACTGCCTGTGAGGGCTCAACAGTGCAGGGGTTTGTAGGAAGACTTTTTCAATGACAGCTCCAAAACTTTGGATTTTGCCACTGTGGTGTGTGGTGCTCTTTTAGAAGGAAGGTGAAGATGTACCGGTACCTCTTCTGCCAAGCTTTTGGAGGCAAAGAGGTGTGATTTGTTGAGGTCAGTTTGTATTTTACCCGTTGCTCCCCCCCTCTTATTTATTAGTTTATGCTGTGCTTAATTTGCTTTGAATCTTTTAATTGATTTTAGAAATATGAGTTGCTGCATTTTAAAAAATAATTTGTGCACCACCTTTGGGCCATGTGATGAAGGGCAGTAAAAGTATATAAATAAATATAAATATAGGGATAGTAGGCAGCAGATACAGCAACGCCTGCTGTGTTAGACCCAAGATATACAAAGTCAGTCTTAGGCATAACCACTTGCCCCTTTACCCATGACAAACTACAATGTGTCAGGTGCTGAGGCAGAGCACTAATCAATGGTTTGTAAAATACCACTGTGCAAAATAGACGAATACTCTGTCCCAGCACAGATCTATATACGGAAATGCACTGTGCATCCACACTGTGGGAGGCCACCAGATGTGAACCACCAATTCCTTTCCCCACCTGCACTGTTGTGGATGTGCTTCCACTCCCTCGGCCCTCTGGCTGTGCACACACACACTTCATGCATGCATTTGACTTTGAAAATAAAGGTATGAAAGGGGCATCAAGTCTATCCCCAAGGTCCAAATGACGCCTCCCCAGGCCCACCAGTCCTGTAGATACATAAACCAGACCACAGTAGGCCATAAAAGAAGGTACATATTATACAAGGTAAAGTGGCCTCAGTATGGTACTTTTTTCATTTCCTGTAACATATTTCTCCCGATCAAATTTATATCTTACTACTTTTACAGCTCAATGTGTCTACAAGGATAGGTGACAGAATGGATTGATGGAATTAATGAATTCCCACTCTGTCTGTTTTCCCATAATCATATTGCCACACAAGTACTGGGTAGAATTCACAGGGATCTTAATAATTTCCATGCCACCCATTGGCAGTCCTGTAGCAAAACCTTCATCCAACCATTTCTTCAAATGTGGATTTACAATATTTCAATTGCAACCCACTTCGTACAGCATATACGCTTACCCACTGATTATCTGAGCCTTGATATTGATCTCTTAAGCTCCTGGCATAATAATAATACACTTGTGTAATGTTCGTTTTGGTTTAGTTTTGCCTCACTTTAGACAGTCCATCAGTCTTAATGACAACTTTCAAGTATGCTACCCAGTAACACTTAAGCCCTTTAACAGCAGGGAGTTAAGTATAGTCCACAATGGGCTTATGCAGGATATAATTGGAAAGCTAATTCACTAACCTTTCAGATACTCAAGAGGGGCACCTACAGCTGCTGTGAAACAGTGATGAAATTACGCACGTCTTTGTTGTCTTGCTTTTAATCACATGCAAAAAGTGGGAAGGAACAGAAACTAGGGCAAGGAAATGACTTTTCAGAAGGACTGTTTCCTACATTTCCCAGCAACATGCCTGGGTTTACCCCAGAGGGGATTTGCAGCCAATGTTTGCTCCATGTTTTTTAGGTACCAAAAAAAAAAAAAAAAAGCACACATGAATCTTGGATATATACCTAAAAATGTAACATGTTAAGTGGCCTCCACAAGAGGCAATTGATTGCTTCTTCTTATTCATTTCAAGCTACTATATATTGTGGAATCTTTTAAACAGACAAGACAGGACACTGCCCCATAGTTCTGCTTAAACAACATTCCTGATTTATTTATTTTTACCATTTTGTTTTTGCAACTCACCTTTGTGTCATCTTTAGTCGCTGGGTTTGTTACTGGAAGTGAAAGTACTGCAAGAGAGAAAGGGAGAGAAAGGCAAGATATTACATGTTCTCTGGAATAGTTCCAGCCAGCTGGCCCATGGCATGCAAAACTCAGCCAATGCAAGCCAGATGGGGAAGAGAGAGCCATTGGCACAAGGGATAATAAGTCACAAAAACAGCGTATGAAATCCAGCACCGCAAGATTGCTCCACTTTGGGGCTTAAAAACAGAGAGAAGTGGTTGATTCCTGAACACAATTGCTCAAACAGACCTCCAGAGTGAAGGCTAAGTGGACTGCAGCAATGATTGCGTGTGGGGGTAGATCTGCAACAAATCATTCAGAAGTAGGTTGCAGATTCTTTCATTTCACCCTCCTGAGTCTGAGTAAGCTGGTTGGTGATTTGTTTAGGTTGTTCATGGGTGCAAAGAGATAAGAAGAAGGGTATGAGTAGGAAGCTAGGGAGAGAAAGGAGGAGGAAGGAACGGGGTTTTTTGGTTAAAAAGAGAAAGAAATTGCAGGACGGAATTTTTATTTTTAGAAGGGGAGGAAACCAAGCATACTCAAAAAGGAACTCGAGTGCTTTGCAAAATGGGTCGACTGGGCTTCAAAAAGTTTGCTAGCGTAAAATGACCTTGTGGATCAAGTCAGATTCACGAGGCTCTCGCAGGAGTTCACTGAAGTCTCTTGACTCAGAGAACTGCGTGGTACCCCCAAGCCAACTCTCCCCTCTTCCAAAAACAGGGCAACTCCCCGTCCTCCTGGAGCAGTTCCTCCATCTTGCTTCCACGGGAGCCGGACGGGGCCAGCAAGCCAAAGACCGCGCCTCACCGCGCCTCTGTCCTTGGTGCTGAAATGAAGAGCCGCTGCGGACAACGGTCCCCGGGCAAGTTCTATAAGGCAGAGGAACTGCGGACAACAGACGGAGCCAGCCCACCCGCCGCTACCTCGGAGGCTTACCTTGCGCTGCGAGGAGGAGAACAGCAAGCAATACTGTGCGGGTCATGACGCCGGCAAAACGGGCTGCAGCGCCGAAGGATGGCTAGAGGAGATCTCTCCTGCCTTTATTGCTGACGGCCGGGCTTTAGAGGTAGCAGCTGGCGGAGGGGGACTCTGGCATCGGGCGAGAGCTGAGCCGGGAGGCAGATTAATCAGCCCGTCCCCTTCCCTAGATCCTCTTCCTTTTCTAATGCTGATGATCCCCGACGGGGCACTGCAGCAGCAACCTCATTTATATAGGGCCCCCCTCCCATCTCATCTCCTCCCTTCTGTCTCTTCCCCCTCCCCTCCGGAAACGGCGTCAGGAGGAAGCCATCTCTCCCTCCCAGGAAGGGTACGTCCCAGATCTCCTTGGCTAGGGATTGCAGAGCCGACGCGCGGCTAAGCTACTCTTTCTGAGCTTGCCCGCTTAGAGCGGGAACCTGGCTAGCCTAGTAAAAGCCCTGCTGCTGCTCCTGTCGGACAGCGCTCGGCTCCAGTAAGAGAGGCGTATGCCAGCTCCTCCTTTTTCACACTCTGCAAGCTGTGGTAGAGAAGGCACAAATGCGCCCAGTCGAAATGCTCACTGCTGGCAGGTAACCTATGGCGCAGCGTAGGCTCCAAAGAAAGGGAGGGAGGGAGCGAACGAGCGGTGCAAAGGCGCCAATTCTGGTGGGCTGTCATGTTCTTCAGAGCAGTTAGAGATCTAATGATTGAAAGGTGTCAAAAGAAGATGAAAAAAGAGATGACCACAGCAGATAAACCCTTAAAAGTTCAAGGGAGTACTTTTCAGTGATCTAATGTTGACTCTGCCCTAAGGCTCGCCCCTGAAGCTGGCTGTGGATCTTGAGTCCTCCTAAAATCTTTCCTCCCTCCCCCACATCTGAAAGGGCACTCCTGTTAGATTAGGGACACACAACTGCAACCACTAAATTGTGTTTTCACAGACATTTAGGACCTAACTACATGTTGCACACAAGCACAAAAATCCTAATAACTGCTTTCCATCTTCAAACTCACTTCTGGAACATTACAGATGTAGAAGCTCGCTTGGATGCAGGGGATGGGGTGGGGGTTTGAAGAGGAGAAGTAGCAGGTGGAAGGAGGATTTAGTGCTCCCATCTCCTGCCCCTGTAATTAATCCATTTCAAATTGCCCCCTAAAGCTTTGTTTTTTTCTCCCAAGAAAAAGGAGGCAGAAAGCTTCTGTACCTTTAGGGCCACTTTACAGGAAAAACAGGTCTCCTCAAATGTCAACCAGTGTCTTTTCTGACAGTGGAAGGAGGAGTGAAGGTATGCAAACACACTAGGAAACTTCTATGGAGCTGAAACTGGACAAGATCTAATTCGGCCATGCATGTTTGCTTATTCCTTTACTTATTTTCAACAGCTGTCTCCTGCTTTCCTATAAAAGAAAAATAAATCAAGGTAGCAAACAACGTGATAGGAAATTAGAACAATATCAAACAATAAAATGCATGCAATTAGGCTAAAACTACAATAAACTCCAAGTCAATATGCTGGAGGGGGAACCTGGTCATCATAAGGAGGGTTGTGATGATGCTGAACTTCCTTTCTTGCCGTCAACCATCAGAACATCAGAAAGCCCCCATCCTGTGGGGCTACTTATGATGGAGGGGAAACAGGGCCCTAGAGGATTCTCTTAATAATTAGGTCAAGAGCCAACATGATACAGTGGTTAGAGTGCTGGATTAGGACTGGGGAGGCCCAGGTCCAAACCCTCATTCAGTGATGAAACTCACTGGGTGACTTTGGACCAGGCATTGTCTCTAAGCATTGCTTACCCAAGGAGACTGTTGTGGAAACAAGGGGTGAGCCATTTTACACAACAGGCTTCCAACCTCTTGTGCTACATTTAGCACTGGAAGTTAAGCCATTGTGGTTAAATATGGATCTACTAAAGCTTGCAGTGGGGAATCTGTGACCCTCTAGATGTTGCTGATGGTGTTACGGGTCAACAACATCTGGAGGGCGCTAGGTTCCATGGCCCTGTATGCAAGGTACATGCATGCTTCCTCTAATGTAAAGTGAAGAGGTAAAAGGCAATGCTACAGTGGACACCTGCCAGACAACTGTAGCACATTATGGGTCTGCCACAGGTACACCTCCCTTACACACTTCACATGTTTACTATGCTAAATATCCATGGAACTCTGGATATGAATAAGTAGCATCCTGACCCTATAAGCCAGAGAAAAGATCAGCATACTCATGTTTGTGTTTAACTAGCCAAACATAACTGTTACCCTTTTGCAAGGAGGAACATTTGTAATGGACACGTAAGTGGATTTAGACATACACCTTGCAATGAGGTGTGATTACACTGAAGATCAGGAATGGCATGGCAAAGGACCCTATTTTGATTAGGGAGGCCAATGAAAGTGGCACAGCTTCACCAGTGATAAGAAAGTCGGTCATTTCAGGTGAAGATGTGCATAACATTTCAAACATGGTGAAGGTGATTTGAAGGCTGCCCTGAAAATACACTTAGTTTCTTCTTTTCTTGAGTGTGCTCTGAAGAGGAAGAAAGTTTTCTGCAAGTTTTCAGCCTGTTGAGAAGAAAAGCTGTATGTGTTGGGTGCTTATTGGCTAGCACCCATGCCATTGGCAACATATCTCTTTCTCCAATTCCTGGAGCACTTCTGCAATTGTTTAAAGTGTTGTGATTCTTATTTGCAGTGTGAAAGATGCATTGATGACTGCTCTTTAAAAAAAAATGATGTGGGTGTTCTTCACCCACAGATATCCTGGCTATAGATGCACATCAGTATGTAGCCAATGAGCAAGGAAATTTCCAAGGTGAGTTTGTTTTAGGTGGGATGAGAAGCAGCATGCAACCAATATTGCACCAACGCACATATTTATGTGGTGGCAGACACTGCCTAAGAGGTTTACTAGGGAACTTCTTTATCTATCGACACACATTTCATTCTCATCTAGCCTGTTGAGCTGTGTCACTATCATCCATGGTTGCAAGAGACATCCTGAAGGAAAAAGCAGGAGAGAGATCTGCAAGGAAGTTTCATCTGTGAAGCTTGTGTGAAGCTCTGGAATTGTGCCTGTGGACTTGTAGCTGGAAATTCTATTAGTCTCTATGGGAAACTTGTTGGGGATCTCAAGAAGTTGCTGCTGGTACCAGTCATCACTTGAAAGTAGCTTAAGGTCCAAATAGTTTACTGTTGCAGAAGATAAGACTCAGTAAAACAGTTTTGGACATAGATATATACAGCTTGTAGGCTCTTGCAGGTACAGATATAGATAGAGACATACAAGTACAAAGTATCTCCATTGAATAAGTTCAGCAATTCAAGACGTAACACCGGACAAGCAACAGACTCTACTACTGAGCTGACATTAATCACATATATTGGGGCACTGGGCCATTACCATAGCAACTGGATTGGCTCACCTTGCACCTGCGATTAGCTCATCCATGAGGTGATTTACAGTCATGAAGGAAATTAACCCCTTCCCGTGTCATGTTACTCCAACAAAGCTTACTACTTTGTTAGAAGTCCATCTAACAGCACTGAATATGCTGTACATTTATATGTAGAGGGCATTTCAGTGTTACTTGCAGAAGAGAACTCATATTGTCCCTTGTAAAAGATTCCAGTTTCCAATCATGGGGAAGCTGACTTTGAGTTACTAATGGAAACAACTGAAACTCTTCATGTGTTGAGACAGAACTGTGTTGTACCAGAGCTGTCTACTCTGACTGGTTGCATCTCTCCAAGGACTCCAAGGACTGGGTCCTTCCCACTCATGATACCTGAGACACTTCAGCCGCAGGTGTGAGAGCTAAACTTGCATGCAAACGATGTGTTCTACCATTGACCTCTGGTCTCTTCCTGCCCATAAACTCCAGCTCAGCTGCTTCAAGAGAGTGGAACAGATAACGTTCCCATATTTCCTCAGCCTCGTGTTTCCCTGAGAATGGGGCTGTTTTCATAGTGCAAGTGAAATATGTCTCACATGTCAAAACAGAATAATATATTCCCCCCCAAATATAACAGCTTCAAAGAGCAGGCTGTCGCCCGTCTGCAAAAGGGTATTCATCTTTTATCGTCATTTTTTTTAGGTCAGCAGCAAAGTGATGTGAATCCCTTTGATTTTCCTTTGCCTCGACTGCACTTACAGCAGCCTGGAATTAATTGCATGAATTGCCAAGCGTCTCGCTTACACGCTGCCAAAAAATACACAGAGAGGGAGACATAAATAGTGTCGTATTCTGACAGTAAATTTCTTTCATTTTCACTCTCATCGGATTTGCCCTGTCTAAGTGTTCTTGGGCCTAGTTCCACAAGATGGAAAATCAATAGACACAGGGCATGTTTAAGAACACAAGAACATAAGAATCTTATTGCATCATATCAAAGCTCCTTCTAGTCCATATGGAGTAGAATGAAACTTTCATTATTGGGTAGGGTGTCAACCATTAAAATGAATATATTACCAAGGATGTTATTTTTGTTTCAATCAATACTGGTGATCGGCAAGACAGATTATTTCAACAAATGGCAAAAATATATTTCCATATAAAAACGAGAATAAAATATAAAATATTGATAGATGTGAAAGAGAGAGGAGGTTTTCCCCTGCTGGATATGACATTATATTATGAAGCATCCTGTCTGTGCTGGGTGTTATTGAAGAATTCACATATTTTAGATCTGGAAGGTCATGATAATATTTTTGGTTGGCACGTTTACTTGTAGTATGAAAAGGTGAAAGTACATAAAAGTTTTACAAACCATATAATTAGGAAAGAATTGTATAGAGTATGGGATAAATATAAAAACTTGTTGGAGACCAAAACACCACTATGGCTTTCACCTTTGGAAGTCATAGTGGTGAAAAAGAAAAATATGATGGGAATTTGGGCAACTTATATAAATTTATTAATATGAAGAAGGTGGAGAGTTAAAATTAAAAGGATTTAAGGATTTATCAGAGATGTTAACAACATGGTTACAATATCATCATCTGACTAAAAAGGATATGAAGTGGGGGTTTGGGGAACAAACATAACCACTAGAAAGAGACCTGTTAAACTGTAAAGTTAAAGTGATGTCTAAAATGTATAAGATGTTATTGGAATGGGAGACAAAGGACAAACAAGTGAAATCTTCAGTTGATACACTGGGCAATAGATATTAGTCATACAGAAATGGATGCATGGGAACATTTATGGAATGTGTGAAATTTACAGCATGTTACAGTTTAAGAGAAAACTATATGAAAATGTTATATAGAAGCTACCTAACACCTAGTAGATTGGCAAAAAGGTATAAATCCAAATCGAATATGTGCTGGAAATATAAAGAGAAATAAGGTACCTCTTCCATATGTGGTAGTCTTGTAACAAGGTTAAAGATTACTGGGAAATGATATGTAATGAACTGAAAAAGATGTTTAAGATAATATTTATTTTTAAAAAAACCAGAAGCTTTTCTTTCGGAAATTATAGGGATCAAAACTACCTAAACTGTATAGAAATTTATTTATGTATCCAACCACAGCTGCAAGAATTTTATTTGCCCAAA